TAAAACAGAGGCAAGGGGTCATTAAGCAGCAGGTTTGGAGACAGCTTGGGAGACGCAAAGTCCCAACTTCATCAAGATTAATCACTGACATCTGGTGCCTTTGGAGGACCTAGTTAGTAACCCTCTGTTTTCCCCCTGGTGGGGCGTGAATCATCGATGGCAGCAAGGCAGAGACGCAGGAAGCTCAGCCCTGGACGCGTGTTGTGTCTTTTGTTTCGCTGCGTGACAGAAGCTGATGATAAACGACACAAAGGAGCATAAATATGCATTTTCTTAAATGGTTCTGCTGCCATTAACTGTAGCGACATAATTTATTTTATCAAAACAAAAGCCATGATTATAAGAAAGACTTGATATAGGGTGAAAGTATCTCATTATATTTACTCACAGTGAAGCATGATGGTGGCAGTGTCATGATGGAAAATGCTACTTCCGTCACAAAATATTAATCTTTTTATATCCAAGCTTTCATAATAAGTAGAACTATGTCTACCACAGACTTTTATTTTGCTGCATCCAAATCAACTTTTATCTAATTTATTAAATTTGGCTAAATGTAGCAAAGTTGTGAAAGGAAAAGAGCCAAATCAAACTCTGGTCCGCCTACAAATGTTGGTTTTTGTTCAGCTGAAGGGAACTCTGGTCCGGTTTGAATGGATATATGAATGCCAAATGGACCGGAAACTGCTCCAAAAGCAGGAAGTGGACGACAGCGCAGGGCATTCTGGGTAAATACAACCAAAACAAAAGCACCAGGCTAGCGCTAGCTGGAGAAATGACTTCTGTTTTCTACTAAAAACAAAAGAGGAATCGTCCAGCCGCTAAAACCAGATGCTAATCCATTTTTGTTTACATTTTGTGAAGGAGGAAGTTGTGCTCATTATCTTCTTTGGTGGTTTTTGTATAATTTACTACAGTGGTTCTTGGTGCAGCGCCCCCACAGGCGAGGAGGGGAACAGGTTTTTAATTTGACTGCAGTGTGAAACCAAACAACAGCAGCTGAAAATGTAACAAATGTTGCAACACGGTGCAAGTCTACCTGACTAAACACACTTAGAGACTATCCATGTACCGGTTCGTTATCTGGAAAACATTTTCTGTATGAAATGTGTGGCGTTTGCTAATCTCTGCTGACAGTTGAATGTTTTGGTCAGATGAAGCCAAGATTGATTTTTTTTTTTTATCAACACAAAGACCAGGAAGGAAAAACTGAGAATGAATATCAAGAGAAGAACGTTCTAACTTATGTAGGGCTGAAACGATTAAATTAACTTCATTTGTTATAAAAATACAATATAAACATCAAATATGATTTAAAAGAAAATTGACGTCATTTGACGCTGTGAAATTGGGCCTCTGTCTCTTTAAAAACTCCTGCCGTTTCTGAAGCTCTGCCTTCAGGAAGTCATCAAAACCTTTCACAATGTTTTTACCAGTGTTTCATAGTAGCTGCTAATATGAGCTCAACAGGAGTTTGCTAATTGCTGCTGGCTAGTCTGAAGGAGCTGAGTGGGGGAGCGCTGCTCTGCGAGATTGGAAATGCAGCTGTGAGGAGGAGCTTCGTCCTTGTAGGCAGGGCTAAGTCCACCCAGGCGTTTTGCACAGCTGAATGGTTGCCATGGAGATTAAAGGCTTTCCAAAACATGCATGACAGTCAAAGCAACACAGAACAGGGTTATAACATGATGTAAAGCTAAAAAAAAAAGTCAATTTTACATTAGATTTCCCCTTTAATGACCCAAAATATATCAGAAATGGTTCCACACACAGAAAAATCAACCAGTAGAGACAAAATTTCCCATCTATTTACTATCATTTAAACCTTTTAATCAGATGTTTCTTTACTGTTTCCGAATGATAAGTAAATCTACGTGTAGTTATCTGTTCAGCTTCTCTTCGGCGTGACCTCAACAAATATTCCAAGAGCGTTGTCTCGTTATTGATCACAGGAAAGTGAGGAGATATGGATATTACTGGGCCGAAGGCCACAAAGGTACCGGGGTTGATTCACGGGGCGTCTTCCTCATAACTCAGGCTCTAGACAAACAGTTCAGTCCCAGCAGTGCTGGCATTTGAAGGAATAAAGTTCTTGGCTTTACAGCAGGTCAGAGCAGGATCCCTTTCTCTTAAAGGTTCTTCCTGAGTGTGGCGGCCATCTTTCAGGTTAAAGTTTTCCTCCAAAACCACAAACACTATCTCTTATCCCTTTGCCTTTCATTCCACTGTTAAATCCCTGATTTTTCTTTTTTTCATGTCTTTGTGAAGCAACTTGTGCTGATCTTTGAAATCGGCACTATTTTCTGTCTTGCAGAGACGAACCCTTTTCATATTTTCTGACCGTGCCCTTTCCGGCGAGATCCTTCGAACACCCTCTGCTTTGTGTTTTTTCTTTTCCCCTTTTCTCGTTTTTTTAATACTACGGCTGTCACTTGTAGAGAGCCAATTAACATATTGTGTCTGAGGAAGTCACTCTCCCCAACAGTCCTCCCTCTGTTTTTGTCACTCTGCCGACTATACCGGGCAGTCTCACACAAATTAGCGGCGTGGGCTGCGAGGCTCAATTACCTTTTAAAACGTTCGGAGGTGGTGTCAGCCCGTCTCAGAGCCTCTCCCCGGCGATAAGGGCACGAAGCGAGGAGGAGGAGGGGAACAATCGGCTTGCAGGGGGCTGGGTTGGGTTTCTAACTGATCTAATTCCTCTGTCTGCAGGGCGCCTAACTGTTGGCATCCCAATTTCCCCTGGAGACAAAGGCAGCTCTCTCTCTTCTTCTCATCAACTCACCTTTGTCCATTTGAATATGATGGCAGTGGCGGACTCTCAGGAGGAGTCGCGGCAGACCAAGTCTTGTTATCGCGTAATGGAGACAGGAAGGCTGAAATGGGAGAGACAGAATGGTAACAGGAAATGGTGGGAGCAGCAGACATTTTATTAACGCCTCCAATCGCCAAAAAGAGAAATTTATAACAGAGTAGAGCACACAAACACCGTAGATAAGACTTTCCTTAAATATCCTTGCCAAAGTCTGGTTAAACCAACCTCTGACCTCAAACATTGATAGATTCTTGCTAGTTCTGGGTTGGGCATCCAGTTATGTTTCCTAAAACAGGTCAGGATAGGTTTAAGAAAATGTTTTGCACAAAATCATTGTTAAAAAGTGAGATTTTAGTCAGAATGAGCTGTTTTAGGGCGTCTTGTCACTTTAAATCCAATTAATCTCCTGCTGGCCGCATCACCCAAACTCAACGTTTACAAATGAAAACGGCTGCAGACCGAAGCACAATTATGCAAATTAATATGTTTGAAAAGCAAAAGTGGAGCCTCCTTCACAACCAAAAAGAGCGCATTAAGTGGTTTGTGGATGGTAAGTCAACAACAAAATGCTTGTCTTTTCCAGCAGCCATTGTACAGCGCAATGGCTAGGTGGGTTTTTTAATCACTTGAGCTGCTTTTAGAATAATTTAAGACCCAAATGAAAGTACAAAAATATGCAAAATGTGATTTCTGTATAGTAGGCCCCCCATCATCTCTGCCACATTCAGACCTGTTCACCGGAACTCGTCATATTCCAGAAAACAGTTTGAGACGATGTGACACAGTGGCCTATTTCTTCCAGCAGCTGCAGATTCTGACCAGCACTCCGAGGCCCTGCAGCCTGAAACACTTTCTGTTTGTGAATGACTCAACGTCCAGTTTAAATGGGCAGAGGACATCCTGTCCAAGGTACAGCCGGACTCAGAGCAGTAAACAACTTATCATCTGACATTTTAAGGCAGTTTGTGATTAGGATTAGAGTTTAGTCAGAGTTGGACTTTCAGCCATGAAAGTGAAAAGTTCACCAACTGGAAAAGGCCTGGGAGTTTCGGGGAAGGAGGATTCAGCTTTTATGCATCATAAATCCGGGACAAGCCTCCAGAAAACAGCAAAACAGCCGAAACACTTAGTTCCTTTAAATCAAGACTAAAAACCCAGCTGTTTAGAGCTGCTTTTAAACCATAATAAATGGAAAATTGTCCAATATATTTGATGTTTATTGATGATGTCATTTGACAAAATGTAATGTTTGTTTCTGGTTTCACAATTGGTGACATTTTATTCGTGTATTTTTATGATGTATAGCACTTTGAACTGCCTTGTCGAGAATGATGCTTGCTTACTTTTATAATGATTTTTTTCATCTTTAATTTTGACTTTAAGTATCACAATTTTCATTTTTTAAAATAAAATTTCAAATTTTGGATTTTTGTTTCCATTTTATAGTCATTTTTGGACCCCCATTGTTTTGAACACAGGATTTTTCCCCTTTTCTGAATAAAAGTACTTAGTACTTAATCATAGGTCGGACTTTTCCACGTTTTTCAGTGTGAAATTAAACTACTGCAAAGAGGATTTTCATGCGGTGCCAATAAATGTGACCTGCTCTGCTTTTCTTTGACAATTTTTCAATGAACCGTCGCTCGCAGCCTCAGGTGAGCTGCAGTAAGAAAAGCATCAGCAGGAAGTCTCAATCAGCAGTTAAACTCACACACTGCAGAGCGTGTTGCGCTTTGTGTCATTCATTGATACGGTCTTGTGTATTTATAGGCCCAAATCATGCATTATACATGCAGTTTTTAAATCTCTACAAAACAAAAAGGAGATGAGAGTTGAAATCAAGATTATTTTAATGCAGACATCATGTTGGATCAGAATGATGGAAGACTTACAGCTTCTACTAGAAAAATCTGTCGATGTTTGAAGAAGAACCAGGAGAAGTGTTACTTTTCTAGAAATGAAAGGACATCAGAGGCAGCTTGGCTTTGTTGATCCGCCACCAGGGGGCAGTGTTGTGCAGGCAGATTGATCTCACCTAACCCCCATCCTGAGCAGATCACCGAGTCTCTGCTGTGAATCCTCCTGCCTGTCGGTGTTTGCAGAACTTCTTCATGTTGTTTTTCACTTATTACTCCACATGACGAGAACATGAAGCTCAATCAGACTGTTTTGTAATTTGAGGTTTTCAATGAGCTGACTATTGAGTAAGTTACTGTTGTGTTTAAAGATACACTGCAAAAACACAAAATCAAGTATATTTTTTTTAGTTTTTTTCGAGTACAGTTTTTTGAGATCTGAAAAATTGAAAAATTTGTCTAGAAAATTTCTGAGATTAATGTCAACATTTCCCAGCTTTTGGCAGAAATGTACTTTTTCTATCTTTTTTTTTTTTTTTACCTACAATGGCCCAAATACAGCACCATAAATCTCCCAGTAGAAATAGTATTTTTTTAATCAACATTAAGGAATTATTAACTTAACCTCTCACTTCTTGCTGAAAAGTTACTTTTAAGTTATTTTGTCTTATTTCAAGTGGACTAAGATACTTACACTGAAATATATAAAACCAGATAGGGATCTGAAAGTTTGACTAGGCCATCATTTCTTGGTTGATTGCAGTTGGTGCTTTGTCCTTGTCAGCATAAACAGGATTTGTTTTGATAGCACTCATTGGATGGACCGAAACCTGGAACACTGTTAAAGTACAAGGGGCTCATTGAATATCTGGGAAGGAGATTTACAGACTTACACAAGCTGGAAAGTCTTTTGGCGATTATTGATTATTGAATTTAGTTTTAGAAAAATGTTTAAAGAAAGTGACTGGCCTCCTGATTTGGTCCTGTGGGCGAAACAGTGCCGAGTAAAATTACTTTTTCTCTCTATTCCAAACAAAATCTCAGAGTCTCCAAAGGGGAAATCTTGGATTCATAGATATAACTGCACAAATTGTAATCACTAAATAAACTCACTTAATGGAAACATGCCAATCATGTTACTACTGGCGGAAACGACGAAGAAGAATTCAACAGGAAGTGGTAGGAGGAGGATGGGTTTCATGACTTTTTCTGTGATTTTAGTTGGATTTATTGAAAAAAATTATGCTTTTTAAATATTAGCGGAACATCTACAAAGTTTTGTGCACATTTGTAATGGAAGCAGAGCTTTTCCCCAAGAAAATGTTTTGTTCTTGTTTATACATTCACAAAATGATCAAGAAAAACTGTTAACTTGTGTCACTGTCAGTTGTACGGATGGAAAGAGGAGGAAATAATAAAGGTTAAAGGTTTGGTCATTTTAAATGTCCATTACCTGCCCTTGGTGGCGCCACTGAGGCTCAACTTTACTTTCCAAACTGGAAGAACGAATGCATCGAATGAAACCAGATTAGCTTTAAACTTGATGTAGAAAACTTTTGCACCAGCAGCTGGAAGAGCAAACAGATGAAGGTGAAGCTGTGGCCTGGAGGAAATGACAGCAGGAACCAGAGTTAGGGTCCGCGTCGTTTCCTGACAGCCTGCAGCCCAGAACAGGACACAAAGTGTCAAAACAAGCTGCTCACTGTGGACTCTGGCTCTGTTCTCCCATTGATCCGTCTGTCCTGCTTGTCCTGTCTACCTGCCACAGATCTATACCAAAGAAAGTTGGACTTTGATGACAGGCTGAACATAAAGCAGCTCTGGAATTCAAAGGGAATTAAAATAATAATAAAAAACGAACTGAACTTTTCTTTTTTTGAATGAAAATATTTTTGATGTTTTTGCAAACTAAAAACATTTTAAATTCTTTTCGGAGTAAAAAGGCGACGGAGGCGGCAGATTGTTTCCTGTTTTGGATTGAAGAAAAAAAAAAAATCTATGTAATTCCAAACAACAATAAGAATAAAAAGTTAAAAAAGTGATGATTTTCCTGATTTTCTTTTAGACAAAAAAATAAATAAAGAAAAAATGTTTAGGAGAGAAAATATACAAATACACTTAAATTAAATGCTAAATAAAAATATTTACTATTACGATGAAAAAATGTCGATTAATGCTTTTAAAAGACTAAATATGTAACGGAATAGGTTAATTTTTTCACCTGCTAATTAATTTTAGGTTATAGGAGAATATTTTCTGTTACTTGGGTTAGTTGTAGCACCAGGATGGCCGTATTGTTTTATCGTAGAGCAGCGGTGTTAAACTCATCTTGGTCTGGGCCAAATTAAGATCATAAAATGCTCTTAATTTTATGAATGTATTGATAAAACCTGATCACAAACTGTTAAAATATCAATAAATTCTTAAAATTAAATAATATTATTGAAAATTTTCAGTCCCGGGCTGCACAGTGGTGCAGTTGGTAGAGCTGTTGCCCTGCAGCAAGAAGGTTCTGGGTTTGATTCCCAGCCCCGGTCTTTCTGCATGGAGTCTGCATGTTCTGCCTGTGCATGGTGGGTTTTCTCCAGGTACTCCGGTTTCCTCCCACAGTCCAAAAACGTGACTGTTAGGTTAATTGGCCTCTCCAAATTGAGTGTGTGTGTGTGCATGGTTGTGTTGCCCTGCGACAGCCTTGTGACCTGTCCAGGTGACCCCGCCTGTCGCCTGGAACGTTAGCTGGAGAGGCACCAGCACCTCCCAACCCCACTAAGGGACAAGGGTGTAAAGAAAATGGATGAATTTTCAGTCCCTCCAGGTTTTTTTGCAATAAAAAGCAAAGTGTTTCTGGTGCTAATTTGGAAATATTTGCAATATTTACACTAATTTATGAGAATAAATGCGACTTTTATTACTGCTCTATAGATCATGAACTATAATAAATGAAAGCTGAGGCAGCTGTTTAGTACAAGTAAGGAAGTTTTTGACAATTTTTGAGAAAAATCTGCAATAAACTTTCAATTATGTATCAGTACAAAAAAGTGCAGCGATTTGTTGATTTTGTGTGAATTTCCATAATTCTCAAGAAACTGGAGGGACTGATTGATATAATTTGGCAGTAAACAGATAAAAACTGCATTGATTTGATGGAAAGCCTAATATTTAAGCTCACTTAGTGTTTAGAGGGCCACATAAAAAGCTATGGCTGGCCGGATTTGGCCCACGGGCCTCGAGTTTGACACAAGGCTTTTAAAACAAATCAGGAAGTCTGTAGCATATTGATGTTTCTGTGTGTATTTTACAGTGTCTTTCCCCATCACGGTTTCTCTTCTGCTAACCATCCAGTCATGTTAGCAACGTTAGCTGAATTACTCCGTAACGCTGCAACATCTGCTAGCAATAATCTTTGCATTACTTTAATTTCTGCCAATGAAAATACTAACTAAAGCTGAAGCGATGCAAGCCGCTGCTGAACATGTATCTCCTGCTCTGTTTGACATTTAAAGTTTACAGCAGGAGTGACTAAACCCCAGTTTAATATTACCTAAATGTCAACTGATTCAGTCATGTCACCTCACAGTAATCGTATTACTGCACAGATCTGGGTCTGCTGCAGAGTCTCAGGTTGCTTAAACCCAAATTTATCTTTAAATTTGTTGATTTGAAAGAATAAATTTGTATATTTAGGAAACCCTGCTGAGCTTTTGCACTTTAGGTCATTAAATTTTTATTTTCCTGTTCAAAAAGGGACTAAACTGTTTGTTAATTTGTCTTTTTATGTATTATTGATATTGTATAGAATAAACTTAAGTGGATAAATGAAAAATCTGCAGAATGCAGCAAATTTTTAATCCAATTAACCATCAGAATAATCGATTACTAAAATAATCAAAGATGTTCATTGTCATTTATCTATTGGGCTTTCTAATATTTTCCTTTTATCGTTCTGAAGTGCATCTTGCCACTTTTTTCCTCTCCTAAGTGTTTTATTGTGCAGACATGCCTACAACCAAAGTGTAACATTTCTGAAAATCCAAAGACATGATTGAAGCCATCTGTATGCCTGCATGCCCTGCTAAAACTTTCTTTTCCACCGAAGGAACAAAAAAAATGTCTTTTTTCGATTAAAGCTGATCTGTTTCTCTCTGTGGGGACCTGCAACCAGAATAAAATCCAACATGACGGAGCTGCACTTGTCTGTAGTTTCTTTAAATGGACAAACCATCTGTGCCAGGCAGCCTGAAGCCCTGCGCTCTAATTGTCCCGTCTGTGGTGTTTGATATGCATAATTAGACTTTTAATAATCTTTGCTGTGCAGGTGATGTTTGCCATGAGTGCCGACAGATTTGTGTGGCTCCAGCAGGCCGTTGTGATCTCTCTAATAACGAGTCGGGGTTCAAACTTTTTCATTAAAGTCTTTCATGTTGACCAGTTAAAACAATATGTGAATGTAATCAAACTGGGCCAAAGAGGAAACATTTATTTATGGAAAGCAACATTATGTTTTAACTAACCACTATTTAGAATACATAGTGATATAATATGATCTAAATGATTTTGTTCTTTCTGTTCAGCTGCAGTTGAAATCTTGAAACTCTCCCATGAAGGCCATCCAATCATGACCTCTGACCCTTCACACCTGATAGTCTGGTAGACTTGGTTCAATTGGGGACCAAAGTTGGACCATCTGTTACATTTTCAGCTGCTGTGGTTTTCTTTCACACTGTACTGACTCAATCTGTAATAATTAAAAACTTGTTCTCCTCCTCGCCTGTGGGGGCGCTGCAGCAAAACCCTCTGAAGACACCGAGTGCAACTTCCTTATTCAGGAAAAGTAAACAATCCACAATCCGCTTTTCCTGCTAGCATTAACATTTTGCAGCCGGTTTGGTTGTATTTACCCAGAATGCACTGCACTATAGTCCACTTCCTGCTTTTGGAGCGGTTTCTGGTCTGCTTGGCGTTCACATAGACATTCAAATGGAACCGAGTTTACTTCAACCGAACCAAAACCGAGGTTTGTAGGCAGAACAGAGTTTGATTTGGGTCAGGGAATTCTGGGTAAATACAACCAAAACAGATGTGCTAGGCCAACGCTAGCTGGAGAAATGGCTTGTGGTCTATTTCCAAAGACAAAAAAGAAAAAGTAACCACTATAATCTGATGCCACTCCATTTGGTACCACTGAGAAAGAAGGAGTACATTTCCGCCAAAAAACAAAAAGTTTTCTAGAAAAGTTAGGAAATTCTGTGAGCTCAAATTGTGAGAAAAAAACTTGAGTTCCGACATTTTGTTCTTGAAGATATGTGAAAATAATCTCAAATTATTTTTGTTTTTTCTCACAGATTTACAACTTTTCAACTTCCTGGTTGTTTCTTGAAAATTTCTGAGATTTCTGGCTAAAATTTGCTCCTTGTTTTCTTTCTACAATGCCCCTAATCCACCGTCACAGAAATTAACTTCATCCATTGTTAACCAGAATTAAAACTTTCTGAACTCTTGCACTGTAAATTCTTGGTCTAAGAGTCTGTGGAGCTGTTCTCCACTGATTTCTCCCCTTGGATTTTTTCCTCTGGATGTTTTCCAGGTAACAAAATTACATTTTTTCTTCTTCTGGCTTCACATAGTATAGAAAAAGAAAATCTGAACCCTTTAAATGCAGCAGAAAATGTCAAGTTCTTCCTTTTCATCGGTGAAGTTAACAATAACTGTAAAAATGTATTCTTTATTTAGAAGAAACTTGTTAGGAGGATGCACTCGAAGGTTGCATTGACTGAATCTAAAGGCCTGAATGCTTTGTATTTATTCCCTTATCTGTAATTGTGCTTGGAGAAAAAAGAAGAAATGAAAAGGACATTGGGAAGTTCATAGTTCTCTTCAAATCCATTCAATATAAGCTTTTATAATATTTATTCTAACAAGTGAAGGCAGCAAATTAACTGAAGCTCATCTTATGACTGAAACAGATAAAAGCAGCAAAGCTGTAAAAAATAAACAGTTTTATCTACATTAGTAAAGTCACATATATTCAATGTTTTGCTTTGAAAATGTTCCAGTTCTGTCAGGTTGGTGGGAATCAGTTACACTGCAAAACACAAAATATTACCAAATATTGAGTTTATCTTAGTACATTTTAAATAAGACAAAGCTAAATTAAAAAGACCAGTTCCACCGGAAGATTATTTGCCTTATAAGATGGGAAAAATGCCTTATTATATGTTAAATAATCTGCCAGTGAAACTAGTACTTTCTTCATCAATATTAAGGAATCATTGACTTAAAATTCCTAAATATTGCTGAAAAGTTACTTGTAAATTAGTTTTATCATATTTCAAGTACACTAAAATAAAAAATATTAGATATTCATTATTTTCTTTGCAATTTGTTGTCTCAAAAAGGCCAAATTCTGCTTGTAAAAGCATTGAATGGTGCCACATCCAAGGGGGAAATACTTTTTACAGGCTCTGTGTGAAACTCGGTACAAGTGAAAGGTTCCTTGTTGGACCTCAGAACCGACTAAATTCTTGGTGCCATGGATGTTTTGGTCCATATTGACATGAAAGCCTCATCTGGCTGCTCCACATGTGAAAGGTCCTCTGTTGGACGGAGATCTGGTGACTCTGGTGTCACTGCAGTTCAGACTCATCGTCTGGATCAGAGT